TACCATTGTGCACCCCTAAGGATAAAGCCTGGTGTGCTACACATTGTTCTATTCAGCAGAACACTTATTTACAAAGCTCCTAAGAGTCTGTATTTAGCTGATCAGTAAATATGATTCTCCACAGTTCACTTTAACCTGAGTTTGTAAAACAGTATTAAGGACCAGCAGATGAAGAATCTTTTTCTTAAGGTCTGTAAATATGATTCTCCACAGTTCACTTTAACCTGAGTTTGTAAAACTATAAAGTTGATATGGTCCATTCAAAATATTTATGCTGAGGCTGTTTTATAAAACCCTTACAGAGAAATGTTTTATTCCTCTTTTTCATGCTTCTTTCTAAACTGAAATGCAACTTTCAGAACACTATAAAAATAGTTATGTCTCAATTTGGTGCCATGATGGAGCTCAGTGATGGAGTACTTGCCTACTATGTGCAAAGCCCTGGGCTTGAGCCCCAGCACCAACCAAACAACCAACCAACAAAAATTTCACTTAAATATTTTTGTTGTTGTTGTTTTTGTTTGTCTGTTGAGACAGGGTCTCACTATGTAGTTCTGGCTGGCCTGGAACTCACTATGTAGACCAGGCTGGTCACGAACTCTCAATGATCCACCTGCCTCTGTCTGAGTGCTGGGGATTAAAGACATGTGCCACCACACCTGGCTAAATCTTTAGCAATAAGAAAATTCACTAGTATGAAAATCCAGACATTCAACTATCTCTAACTCAGCCTAGCCAACCCCTGTAAGTTGGACGGGAAGTCTCTGAGCACAGGCTCTGAACCTCATTGTTAAATGGCCTAAAGAGGCGTCTCATCCACTTTCCAGAATCACAACTCATCAATATTTCAAAATCACAACTCATTATGAGTCTTTAGCATTAAAACTAAGAGGACGGGACAGTGCAGAAAGAGCAGCAGGCTACAACATTCCCTTTGACTGTGCTGCTTGGCAGTAGGGAAGCTGGCGCTGTCAGCTACTGCACTATTTACGATGGTGGCTTTGGAGTCTCAAGTGTTAGCGCTTGCTCTATTACCTAAGGGTCCTAGACAATCCATGCGACCTCTCCAAGTCTTAGTTTCCTAATTGGGGATGAGGGTAGTAATATTGCCAAGATTGTAAAAATTAAGTAAGAAGATGCGTTAAGGAGGTTGGCACAGTTTGGGGCACATAGCACTGAACAGAGAGAAGCATAACAGCGGCCTGGCTAAACTATCCTCTCTACACTGGTCATTCCCACGTCTTTTATTTAAAAGAAAGAAAGAAAGAAAGAAAGAAAGAAAGAAAGAAAGAAAGAAAGAAAGAAAGAAAGAAAGAAAGAAAGAAAGAAAGAAAGAAAGAAGGAAAGAAAGAAAGATATTTCAAGATTTACTTTTTTTTT